TGTTGTTGTGAAGTGCTGTCGAGTCAATTCCCACCCATAGCAATGCTGTATAGGGTTTCCAAGGAGCAGCTGGTGAACTTGACCCTGTATAGAGTTTGCAAGCAGCGGCTGATGGGTTTGAACCACCGACTAGTGGTTCCCAGTCCAATGCTGATTCTACAGCACCACTCACAAGACGGGGCTTCACGTGCTACACCTGCGGCTTTAAAATTTCTGAAAAGACTTTAAGCTTTTTCTTACACTAACAAAAAAATCCAAAACAAAACAAAAAAACTCGATTTGCCATTCAATCAATTCCGACTCATTGCAACCCTGACATGGTTTCCGAGGCTGTAAATCTTTCTAAGAGGAGAAAGCCTCCTCTTCCTCTCAGCGTGGCTGGTGGGTTTGAACTGCCAATCTTATGGTTCACAGTTCAGTGCTTACTCTATGGTGCTACCAGGACTCCTTTTTTTGTTTCACTGAAGTTTGGTGCTGTAGGATAAGCACTGAACTGCTAAATGCAAGGTTGGCAGTTCAAACCCACCAGCCACTTCTGGGAACCCCTGTACAGGGTTGCTATGAATCGGGACCAACTCAACGGCACTTACCAACAACATCACTGCTCCATGCTGCAGAAATAACAAAAATTCAATCCAATGACTCAATTGAAACGCTTTAGAAGAAAGATCTTCAGCCGGGTTTTTTCCACCCTATTTAAGAAGTATCAGGAAACGCTTGAAAGCAAAGTCTTACTATTCATTTTCCATTCACAAATGGAGTCATCCGCCTATAATTAGCTAAGTGGCTCTCATCTGTAAGTATCTTACATCTGGGGAATTAACATGAAAAATGACTTCACTCTATCAGCATCTGACATCCTGAAAACAGAAAATTCTGTTTCTACTTGTCAATTTGTCAGCAACACTTCAGCACGATGCCATAGCCCAGAGAAATGCTAAAATACAGGGACGCTGCCCTCTAAAGTGTAGCTCTTGGTGTCTCCCTGCCCACAGGAAAGAAGAGAGAAGAAAGTCCAAGACAGATGGACACAATGAGTCCAGTGGGCTAATGGAACACATGGACATCAGTCTCCCTGATCCTGAGACCAGAAGAACTGGCTGGGACCCAGTTACCACTACCAACAGGAGCTTTGGGAGTGTGGTAGGTTATGAGTTGGGCTGCTAACTACAAGGTCAGGAGTTCGAATCTACCAGCTACTCTGTGGGAGAAAGATGAGGCTTTCTGCTCTCATAAAGATTTACAGGCCCAGAAACTCTATACTGGGGTCGCTATGAGTCAGAATTGACTCCACGGCACACAACCACCACCACCATCACCATCACTACTAGAAGGTCCTGGACGGAGTGGAAGACAAATGTGGACCAAAACTCAAAAAAAAAAAAATTAAAATAAGACCAGTGGATAGAGATTGGTGGAAACCCCCTTAGAACTTACCCCATAACTCAATTTTCAATCAAACAACAGACAGATCTCGCAGGGGAACAGTAATGCTAGTGAGATAAATACCTTAGAGTCGTCAAACATTAGAGGTCAACAGGGTAGCATTCACCCAAGGACACAGCTCAGAAGGCTAGGACGGAAGGAAGGATGGGAATGGAACCCGGGGTGGAAAAGGGCTCAGTGATGTTACACCGAAGGGTTTGCCATTACTGAGATGAACACAATGCGCTCTTCTGTGGAAAACGAGGGTTCTGCTCCATAAGCCTGCACCCCATCCACAATAAAGTTGTAAAGAATCCATTGACACCAGACGACATCACAGCAGACTGACACTGCTCGGGGGTGGGCTGTTCTTTAACATGCCAGAGATATTTCACAGGGGGGTGTGGAAAACAGAAGCCAGCTGGAGTTTCCCAGTGGCCCCACACATGAAGGAACGGTTAAACGGGAGAACGTGGCGGAGACAGAAGGCTGCTCACCTGCTCATGGTCACCTTCCCACTTACTGCAGGGGAGGGCAGCAGCCAGGAGCACCTGCCCGAAGGAGCTACAGGATGAGAATGGCATTTCTGGCTAGAAATGTGCAGCCAGGCTAAGTCCTGTCCCCATGGTTTGGTGACCACCGCATCTCCGACCTCCCTGAGACGGTCTAAGGGCACTACCATTAACACCTTCCTCAGACAGTCATCTTGAGGTGTGGGAGGGGATGATGGTGTGTGTGTGGGGTTACTGGGTAAAGTTTATGTTGTAAGCTTCCAAGTGTTTTAGAGATATTGGTGATTGTGGTAACTGATATGGCACAATACCACAAATTCATGACCATCAGACCTTCAGGAGGGTCTTCCAAAAGAAAACAAAACTCGGAGCAGATAGTTAGCTACCTTGCTCTCTGTCTGCTCTTTGACAGAAGGATGCAGACTCAGTGTAGAGTGTAGAAACCTAATCTGTTGCCTTGCATTGATTCTGAACCACAGAACCCGAGAGAACAGGCTGGAACCGCCCCATATGGCTTCCGATCCTGTAAGCTTGACTTTGTCTCTCGTACTTTGAACATGTTATTATGAAGGACCAGTCCCTGGAGAAGGGCATCAAGCTTGGTACACGGGGAACCATGAGTTGGAACAACCTAAGACAAGAAAAAACAAAACAATTCCCAACGGAGATATTCTTATTATCCTTGTTTAGATGAAGACACTGAAGCCCAGACAACATGAACACATGTGGTTGTCCAGGTTATAGGGCTTCGAAAAGGCAGTCAGAAGGACGAACACATCGGACTTGGAAAAAGTACAGCCAGAATGTTTGTTTCTTAAATGCCAGGATGGAGAGACTGCCCCTCACGCCACTTTGGACATGTTATCTGGAGGGACCAGTCCCTGGAGAAAGGCATCATGCCCAGTAAGGTCAGCAAAAAAGAGGAAGACCCCCAACAAGACGGATTGGCATACAGGTGGCTGCAACAATGATCTCAAACGTAGTCGCTGCTATGAGGACGGCGAGGGACTGAGCAGTGTTCAGTTCTGTTGTATCTGGGGCCACCATGGGTCAGAACTGATTCTTAGGTGGTGTTGTTAAGTGACATCGAGTCAGTCTGGACTCATAGCGAGTCTGTGACACGGTTTCCAGGGAGCAGCTGCTGGGTTTGAACCGCCGACCTTGCGATCCAGTGCTCAGCTGACAGTACCACATGGGAGCACCTGCAGCATCATGTGACGCACACTCAGTGAGCGACAGGCAGACTGTGAGATGAGGGAATGCCTGACCATTACAGTAGAAGCTTCTAGCTGACAGGAAGCCAGAAGAACAGGGAGAAGAGGAGCAGCTAGTGGTCACTGAAAGGCTGGTAGTTCAGACCCACCAGCTTCTCCTGATGAGAACCATGTGACAGTCGGCATCTGTAAATGTTCACAGCCCCCGAAACCCTAGGGAGCAGCGTAGGGTCCCGAGGAGTTGGCATCGACTCAATGGCAGTGCACTTGGTTTTAACTCTATGACCTTTGTGGTGTGACGGTTAAGACACCCAAGCTGTACCACAGAATAAAGACCTGGCAATCTGCTCTCAGAAAGACGACAGACAGGAACACCCGGTGGGGCAGTTCTACTCCCTCCATGGGGTCTCTGAAGATCAACTCCACGGCATCTAATAATCTACTAACAAACCTGGTTAACAATAAATCAAAACGCATACTTTGGAAACTCGACTAAGCTGAGTCTTACTCCTGAGTCTTGGTCTCAACGGAGGATGGAAATCGGTGGGAAACAAGAAGACGCACCGAATGTGTCACAGACTCTGCCCACGTGCATCCTAACACCATCTCAATTCTGCCTCTCACAGTGGCCCACGGGGACCACGCAAGTGCAGCATGCTAAGCTCAGACCGCGGAGTTCTTACTCCTTGGAGGAGGTTAACTATCCTCAGGAATGGGCTTGGGCCATCCGGTGCTATTGTTGTTATTAAGTACCATCGAGTCGGTTCCGACTCATATGGATCCTGTATACGGTTTCTGAGGCTGTGCATCTTCGTGGGAGGAGAAAGCCTCCTCTTTCTCCCACGGAGCAGATGGTGGGCTTGAACTGCTGACCATGTGGGTTACAGTCCAGTGCTTATCCTACAGCATCACTGTGCCCCCCTCCCCCATGAGCTTCTGATGGACCTCAAGGAACCAGAATATTTAATAATCAGAGACCAAGTGATTCAGTTTCATCAACGCATGCCTGAGCTTGAAAAAATACAAATGTAAAAGGGAAATTGTTGTTATTGTTGTTATGTGCCATTGAGTCAGTTCTGACCCATAGCGACCCTGTACAGGGTTTCCGAGGGTGTAAATCTTTATGGGAGCAGAAAGCCTCATCTTTCTCCCGCGGAGCAGCTGGTAGTTTCGAACCGCTGACCTTAAGGTTCGCAGCCCGATTCGTAACCACTACGCTACCAGAGCTCCTTGTAAAAGGGAAAAGGAGGACAAAATTCCAAATCACAATAAAAGAGGAGCTCTGGCAGCGTAGTGGTTACGAATCGGACTGCGAACCTCAGGGCCAGCTGTTCCGCGGGAGAAAGATGAGGTGTTCTGCCCCCGTAAAGATTTACAGCCCCGGAAACCCTGTATAGGATCACTATGAGTCGGAACCGACTCCATGGCACATAACAACAACAACAACAACTGGCCTGATAGAGACACGTGGAACCCTCAAACCTGGAACTCTGCCCACCCCGGGGTCACCTTTTATCCAAACAACAAACAGGTCTATGAAGTGACCAGAAATGTGCTCCTCAGAGCCATCATCGGCATGAGACCGAAACAACAGCATTTGCCCCAAAACAAAGGTCAGAAGGCAGGAAGGGGCAGGAAGGCAGGGCAAGCGGAACCAGAGGAATTCCCAGGAGGACACGGGAAGAGGTGCTATCACATTGAGGGCTGACCACCAATGTCCCCAAACAAAAAGCGTAGAAAGCTGCCGACTGGGGAATTAATTACCTTGGTCTCTAAACTCTCACCCAAGCCACAATTTTAAAACGAAATTGGTCTGAGGAAGGGTGAGAAGGAAAAGGGCAGCACTCACCTTGAGCCACTGTTCAGCCTGCTCCTTGCTCTGGACAGCAAGGACCAGGGGGTCTGTCCCTGGCTGGCTGACCTTCAGTTCATGCTTCTTTTTCTTGCTGTCCTTCGGGATGTAGGCGATGCTGCAACCCTGCAGGGGCACTTCCATCTGCGGCTGCTGGTCCTTGGAGCTCTTGTAACACTGCATTTAATACCACACACATCAGTATGCTGCAGTGGTTGTCCCCGAAAGTTACGACAGAGACAGAGCTGTGACCCCGGCACACATGACAACTTGAGAATTGACCAGGCAACCGGCAATCTCATTGACCTGAACAGGGGAAATGCCCAGTAACCGGAAATAGAATCTATAGGTGCAAATGCATGATCACCTACAAAGTGATGCACTTCCGGATTATTTTACCTTTATAATGTGAAAATACTTCCGTTCACCATTCAGCAAATAATTAAACAGAGTTTCTATCACTTGATTCCGCAGGAAATTAGTAAATCCTTAAATTCTAGCAGGGTTTCTTCATTGGATTACCTGGATACATTGTATTGTAATTGCTGAAATGACACAGCCCAAAGACAGATACTTTGTGTCGAACTGTAGCCCTATCACCTGCTGTCTGCTTAGTCCGTCTGTCTGTTTCCTTTCTGAAAGGCCGAGGAATCGTTGTACTAAGAGTCTACATGTTAGTGCACAAAGATCAAAGAGCAGAGAATCCAAAACTCAACTGCTCTGCTTCACTCCCACAGACCTTCACTCGAAAAATGTCAAGAGGGAAAGTGGAGACTAAGGGTGACTTTATATTGTTCTTGCTTTAGCTCTGCCTGTGATGAGAGCTTTAGGATAGAGGTGCCAGGCACGTTTAGGTAACTGTAGCCCTGGCCCCATTTTTTAACAAGCCTCTGCTTTTGCATTCCCCAGGAGGGTGTATGCAGGATTTCCAAAACCAAGGTAACTGACGGTGGGTCAGAACCTGGGTGCAGACACCAACCTGAGTCCAGCTACGTTACTAACCATCAGTGACCCCAGTCCCGAGTGAAAAGAAACTGTTTCCTCTGAGCTAATGGAACAAGATGGTTCCTGCAACCCTCAAAGCTACAGGCCAGGGGTGGGGAACCTTTTTGTTCTGCCGAGGGCCATACAGTATTATCCCCTTCCACATTAGCCTGCTATCATGTGCTGGCTGGAGTTCTGGTGCTATGGCATTGCAGGATAACGTGCAGAACCAGCCGCTCCTCGGAAACCTATACAGGGTCGATATGGGCCGGAACTGGGACTGCGGTTGCCTTGGCAAGGCCAGACCAAACAGTTTTGCCCACGAGGGGGCTTCAGAAAGTTCGTGGAGAAAGTCCGTTCTCTTTCCATTGCATTTTTCTATGAGCTTTTTGAAGCCCCGTCACATATAATCTAAGAATTAGATAACTGGAGGACAGCTCTGTTACTAATTGACTTTGGGTCTCCGGGGAGTGTCTTAGGGTTTCTGAGCAGGCTTTGTCATTTGTATACTGACTTATCACTGTGGTGGCAATTCCAATACATGTCTATTGACAGGGACACCTGCTACCTGGTACTGAGTACCAACAACACGGGGCATCTGTTCCTCACCGAACTTAGGAAGTTACTTCCCCCAAGTTCAGACAAGCTGACAAGTCTTTCATTGACGAAGGGATGCGTGAACAGAAATGACTTCTAGGATCCTTGGCCGTTTTATAGTTTACATTTGAAAAGTATCCTGGTTTTTATTTGTTTGTTTTTAATTCAACAAATAAACGGCTGGCCTATCTCAAAAGAACAAACACCAGCAGCTAACCTCAGGTAGTTAGGCATGTTTACTACATTGTCATGCTCTGATTAAACACAAGCCACGGGAGAAAATGCCGTGAGTGATTCTGTCTCAAGAGCTCAGTGCCCAAGAACACACAGTGTAACGATCTGGAAATGCCTGAAGACCAGATTGCCAGAGAAAACAAACCAGTCAACTCAGCTTCGACCCACGTCAACCCCACGTGTGTCAGAGTAGAATGTATTTGGCTGCTAACCAGAAGGTTGGAAGTTCAAGTCCACCCAGAGGCACTTTGAAGAAAGACCTAGCCATCTATAGCACTGGACACCCAGCGAAGCACAGCTGTCCTCCGTGGGGCTCCCACGAGACATGAGACAGGGTTGGCTCAGTAGTAACGGGTTTGGTTTTCTGTTTTCAACCTGAGAAACACTTGCTTTTATCAGTTGTAATGTAAATCTTTTGTGTTGAGGAGAGAGGGCGTGGGAAAGGGGGCCCGAGACAGGTCCACCCCTCATGAAGAATCCAGGGGGCTGACCACATGCATGCCAAGCGGCAGCTGATGCTGGGATTTTTATAAGATTAGTAGACTCTACCCACAGCTTGCAACCATTCGGTCAGACTGTAAATAAGGGCTGTGTTAATCCTCTTCTCTTTTCTCCTTTTATGATTCCTTACTTTATATAAATCCCCATGGCACCATTTTGGAAATATTCTAAATTTGGGAGAAATTCAGGCCACACATGTGGCAAAAATATGTCCACACGCTGTTCAAGAATGGAAAACAGTCGTTAATTTGCAATATACACTGTCCCAAGAATTTTAACCTGGTTAATAAAATACGGTGGTGGTGTTATTGAGTGCCGCTGGGTCAGTTCTGACTCATAGTGAGTCTGTGGAAGGGTTCCAGGAAGCAGCAAGTGGGAGTGAACTACCAACCCTGTGGTCAGCACTCCGGTGCTAAGCCTACAACAGCACACCAGGACTCCAATCAAAACTGTTTTTGTTGTTAAGTGCTGTAGGGTCGATTCCAACCCACAGCGACCAAGGAAAACATAGATACTTACCCGTGTGTGTGGATTTCCAATCCAAACCTACGCCATCAAGTTAATTCAGACTCACAGTGACCCTGTGTGGGGTTTCCAACCGTGGCTGGTGAGTCTGAACAGCCGACCGTGTGGTTAGAAATCCAGTGCTTATCCTACAGCACCACACCAGGACTCCATGTATATAAGAAATCCCTGGTGTGGCACTGTAGGGTGAGCACTGGACCGCAAGGTCAGTTTGAACTGCAAGGTCAGCAGTTCAAATCCACCAGCCACTCCTTGGAAATACTATACAGGGTCAATATGAGTCAGAAACTACTCAACAGCACTTAACAACAACAATACATACACATACCAGGAGCTCTGGTAGCTTAGTGGTTACGAATCGGGCTGCGAACCTTAAGGCCAGCAGTTCGAAACTACCAGCCGCTCCGCGGGAGAAAGATGAGGCATTCTGCTCCCGTAAAGATTTACAGCCTCGGAAACCCTGTACAGGGTCGCTATGGGTCGGATCCGACTCGACGGCACTTAACAACAACAAAAACAACCAGGGGCTTCAAAAAAGTTCATGGAAAATAATGAAAATCTTGCACACATTTTTTGAAGCTTCCTTGTATCTACCTGCTCCGCTGCTCAGAGACATGATATTTAAATCACTAAGTTTGCTGTTTGAATGATACAAACTGAAGTGGGGTGTTTGTGTTTGATTTTTGAAATCCCAAGGCTTACTTGAACTATAAATGAAAGGCAAAAATGCACCCTACTGTAAAGTTCGTAAAGTGAATCAACCATGGTGTGTCTGAAGCCGGAAGGGAGGGAGGGGGCAGAGGGAAGAAAGGCTGGGGCAGGAGAGAGACCAAAATGAGGGAGGAAGGACGGAGAGACTCAACTCCTCCAGTCCCTGAGTCTCTGCTCCAAGCTCCATCTTGTCTTCTTCTTGGGTTTAAAACAGCAACAGCAAACAAACCAAACACCAATCTCTAACTCTCCCAAAGAATTTCCTCCTGTGGCTCTCTCTCCAAACCCCACCCCCATGACATGGCTTTGAGGAATCCACTGACTCACTACCAACCCAGGAAAGGCATCCAGAGGCCTCTGGCAGGCCAGACCAGCTGTGTCTCCAGGGTACACACCCCAGTTAGTGCCTGAGTGGGGTGCACTCTGTCCTGGGGGTGTGTGGGGAGTAATGAGCCCCTCGTCACCCCGACGACAGGGAGAAAGCGCCAGCTGCTTCAGCATGTTGTTTAAACCTGGACCAGGGTGTGTAGGACATCTCAGCCTGGGCCTCACTATGGCCAGTGTCGGCTGGACAGCGAGTGACGCCGCCGTTGTCTGTGGCTGACCAAGCGGACTCAGAAAGAAGCCTTACCAGAAGTTTGGTGTCTTTGATGACGCACAGCAGCTTGGTCCACTGTCCAAAGCGCTTCTTCCGCAACAAGAAAGCGCAGATCTTGGCGTCCTTCACCAGGTCCATGGAGGCCTCCTCTGAAGGCCACTGATGACACGCGCCTTTCCCCTTCCCATCTTCCTCCTCTTCATCGTAGGACTCGTAAGAGCTGCTCATTGCATCCGAATCATAATCTTTCAAAAAATAAACAGATAAATAGAGGTCAAAGCAAAAGGAGTGGTTGATCTTACAGTCCAGGAGCGGAGGACCTTGGGACCATCAAGGAAGAAGAGCGGAGTGTGGGAACCTACACAGAAAAGCAGTGAGTGACGCCACAGATGGAGGCAGAGATGATGACGTGGAGAGATGGAGCAGCTCGGGACTTTAGACCCAGAGAGGGAGAGGGGCTGTGTGCTGATGACCGGGGGGCAGGCTTGCAGGGTGTACCCTATGGTTGTTTGTTGTAGTTGTTGTTAGGTACCATTGAGTCGGTACCAACTCATAGCGACTCTGTGCACAGCAGAATGAAACACGGCCCGATCCTGGGCCAACCTCACTACTGTTGCCACGCTTGAGCCCATCTATGCTACCACTTGGCCAATCCAGCTCACTGGGGTCTTCCTCTTTTTCTCTGACCTTCCACCTTACCAAACATGATATCCTTCTCCAGTGACTGCTTCGGTGTACATTCAAAAAAAAAAACACCCAAAAAGCAGAGGGAATGGAAGCAAATGCTGTTGAATGATGGTGTATGGAGGGGATGATAGGATGAATGTAAAGCTGATATTCTCCCATGTAAAGTATCACCCAATTCATAATAAAAACTTAAAAAACAAGACAGAGAGGTCAAAGGACCTTGAAGTCTACTGATGGGCTCTGCTGCACACAGCTGTTATTTTTGATAACCGAGCGCAAGACTGTCCGACAGAGCTAGATGGGCCTAACACCGGATTCATGCACCTAACAGTCATGAGGCTGGTGTATGGCTGGGCAGTGTTCCTTCTGTCGTGCTGGGTCTGGAACAACTAGACAATAAACAACCACCACAGTGAGTCAGTAAATGAGTGAGGAAGGGGCTTTGCACTCGGCATGCTAGGGAAACATTATTAGTAAGATGGAGTAGAGGAAACTCGAAGACATGGGTAGTGGACACTCAAAAGTCTTCAACAAAACAGACCAAGGAGTCCCAGCGGTTAAGCGCTGGGCTTGGACCACCAACCTTCTGTCACCAAGTTTGCTGTTTGAACGATACAAATTAAAGTGGGGTTTTTTTTGTTTGTTTTTTTGAAATCCCAAGGCTTACTTGAACAATAAACGAAAGGCAAAAATGCACCCTACTGTAAAGTTCATAAAGTGAATCAACCATGGTGTGTCTGAAGCCAGAAGGGAGGGAAGGAGGTGGGAGGAGGGTTGGTAGACAAAAGGTTGGTGGTCCAAGCCCACTCAAAGGTGTCTCAGAAGACAGACCTGGCAATTTCCTTCTAAAAGGTCACTAGTGGCCTTGAACACCCTATGCACCCATGAGATGGGCTCCGGTCAGTGTTAACAACTACAGTGACAATGGAGTCTGGCTACCTTCAGGGGGGTTTACACCACAGAAAGCAGTCGTATTACATCAAATCCCATATTCGGGGGGAACACAGCCCAGTCCATACAGCAGCCAAAACCCATTCCTTGAAAACCGTGTGCATTGCAGTTCTACTCTGCACATGGGGGTTGCCGTGAATCCGAATTCACTAGACAAGCAACCAGGAGTTTTCTGTTTGAGCATGCGTCTCTCCATTAAGTCAGGCACTGCGGTGGGGTCCTCCCCATGGTCCAGTGGGGAAGGGTTGCCTGCATTTTGCCTGATGGGACCCTTCCCCACGAAGGCCCTGCTTGCCCATACTCAGCCCTTTAGTGTCAAGTTCTTTCAGAGAGGCCATATCCTCCTCCCTCGTGGCATGTGAGCCCCGACCTCAGACTCAGGAGCCCACCTCAGCCCTCCACAGGGCTTTCTCCCTTCGGTGACTCCACTTCACGGTCGCAATTTCCAAACATGGCTCTAGCAGAAACACCACAAGGGGTGGCTTTCATAAACAGAAATGTCTTCTCTCACAGTTTGGAGGGCACCGGCTCTGGGAGAGGCTTTCTTTCTCTGTGGGCTCTCAGGGATGGCCTTCAGTGGTCTCTTTACCGTCGGCCTCCTGGTTCCTTGGAAATCTCCATGTGTCTTATCAGCACTCTTACCCAATCTCTCTTGATTGTTTAATTTCTTTTATGTCTCAGAAGAAATGGACTTAAAACACCCTACGCTGATCCTAGAGCCCTGGTGTGGCACTGTAGGATCCGCACTGGACAGCTAACCACAAGGTTGTCAGTTCAAGCCTACCAGTTGCTCCTTGGAAACCCTATGCAGGGTCCCTAAGAGTCAGAAACTAACTCCAGGGGCGATAACAACAACAACAACAACAACAACAACAATCCTGTCTCGTTAACATAACAAAGACAGCCCATTCCCACTGGGAACTCTGGTAGAGTGGTTCCTAATCAGGCTGTGAACCTTAAGGTCAGCAGTTCAAAACTACCAGCTGTTCCGTGAGAGAAAGACGAGGCTTTCTGCTCCCGTAAAGATTTACAGCCTTGGAAACCCTGTATAGGGTTGCTATGATTCGGAAGCGACTCCACGGCACATCACCATCACCATGGGTTAGGATGGCTGACTCTTATTTTGAGGCGCACAAGTCAATCCATGAACACTCACACTACCTCACTCTCAGTTTCCCCAATATGAAGGGGCTTTGGAAAGTTGTGGGAAAATGAATGAAAAGATAATGGAGTTTTCCATCAACTTTATGAGGCCTACTCATGTATCCCCCTTCCTTCTCTTACCTTCAGGGTCCCTGGTGACACAAACGATCAAGCTCATGACTACTAGCAGAAAGACAGGTGGCTGGAACCCACCCAGAGGTAACTCAGAAGAAAGGCCTGGTGATCTGCTTTGGGAAGGTCCCAGCCTTAGGAGCCCTGTGTAGCAGTTCTTACTCTGCAGAGCTGGGGTCACCGTGACCGCAACATCACTGGCTCTCACGCCTGCTCTATCCCTCCCCTCTGGGCAGCCTGCTCCCCCCACTCACTGCCCTGCCTTTGCCTGGACTCTCACTTCTCATCTCCTCCAGGAAGCCCTCCCTGATTCACCAAGGCTGGGCTAGACGCCATTCCACAGTTCATCCCAACGGGAGCCCCAGCACACTGAGCCCGGGCTGCTGTCTCCCTGAGCAGCTGTCGGGCGTGTTACATGTGTTTTATCTGGATCCGTGACCAGCATGAACCCTGGATGATAAGCCCCCGGGGCTGCATCTGACTCACCGCAGCGCTCCCGGTCCCTAGGAGCAGCCTTCCAGACGAGACTGGAGGAGTGGATGCATTCATGAAGGATGGGGGGTATCAGCAGAAGGAAAGGCTTCAGAACTGAGCTGATGCTGACCACAGTGCAGGTGCCCTTTGCACCACACGGGACTGCTGTTTCTACCCAGCAGTCGCCAGTGGGCACCTGGCTGCCAGCCCTACCAGTTACGGGGCACCCCGGCACCCCGGCCGCCAGCTACTTCAGTGGACACACAACTACGCAGGCTGCAACCCCTGTAACACACAGCCCGGAGCTTCAGTAAAACCACTGCGGGCTCGAGTATCAACTTTATGGTTTTCAAACACCAATATCTCAGGCAGGGGGGTGATAATCAATAGGAATGTCACCTGGGGGGGGGGGCTTTAATGAACAGAAATGTTAGCTAAAGTTGTTGTTGTTGTTGCTAAGAGCCAACCTTGAGGTCCAGCACATTAACCCACAGCGCCACACCAGGACTCCACAAGTGGAGGAAGATGAGTAGAAATGTTACCTCAAGTGGGGGCTTTAATGAACAGATATATATTTTCTCACGATTTAGGAGGGCAGGCTCATGGTCAGTTCTGGAGAAGCTCCTTGTTTCCGTTTCTGTAGTCCGGGGTTCCTTGGTTTCATGGACTGAATTGTCTGCTCCTCTCCAAACACCCCCCCAAAAAATTATGTGCTAAGTTGGCTTGGCTATAATTCTAAGTGGCTTGGCAGTTGTGCGATGACATCATTTGGCAGTTGTGCGATGACGTCATTTGGCAGGTATGTGATGACATTAAATAGCAGTTATGCGATGATGTCATCATCCCCTATGAGGTGGTCTGGTGTGGTCATCCCTGATCTGATGTAAGGGGGTGAGGCAACACCCTTAACTCAGGACACAGACCAGATCCCATGTCAGGGGAATCTTGCTGGGGCGTGACCTGCATCTCTTTTGATCTTATAAGAGCTATAAGGAGAGAGAGGGACCCATTACCAGGAAGAAAGATGGGCAGGGAATGGAATGTGTCCTTTGTACCCACAGTCCCTGCACCAACAACCTCTTAGACCCAGGGGAAGATGGAGGCCAAAACACCCGGAGATCCCCAAGGGATCCCAGGCCCACAGACGCTGAAAACAGACAAGGACCTTCCCAAGGACGACAGTGAGAGAAAGTCCCCCTCCAGAGCAGGTCCTGGGCAGGTGGGCTTCTAGCTCTGAAAGTACAACACTCGGCTGTCAGTGCGTCGTACTGTGGTGGTTTGTGTGTTGCTGTGATTCTGGAAACTGTGCCACCGGTAATTCAAACACCAGCAGGGTCACACTTAATTATGCTCATGAGGAATCTGTACCTGGACCAAGAAGCAGTTGTTCGAACAGAACATGGGAACACTGAATAGTTTAAAAATTAAGAAAGGTGTGTGACAAGGTTGTATTCTTTCACCATACTTATTCAACCTGTATGCTGAGCAAATAATCTGAGAAGCTGGGTTCTATGAAGGAAAACGTGGCATCAGGATTGGAGGAAGACTCATTAACAACCTGCCATATGCAGATGATACAACCTTGCTTGCTGAAAGTGAAGAGGAATTAAAACATTTACTGATGAAGATCAAAGAGCACAGCCTTCGGTATGGATTACATCTCAGTGTAAAGAAAACCTCACCACTGGACCAATAAACAACATTCTTATCAACGGAAAAAAGATTGAAGTTGTCAAGGACTTGCCCGTGAGGAATTCCGCCATGTCTTTCCCATGCAGACAAGGAGGGGGGTCCCAATACTCACTGGATGTGATGTATTCCGGAGCCTTCCCGGGACTCAGTGGTACAGCTTCCTCGTAATAGCCTTCTGGGAGCGAGGAGGTGGGCAGAGGTGGCGGCCCGCTGTCTGGGGGCTGTGGGAGACCAGAGGAGAGAAAACAAGACAGACAGCGTAAACGGAAGACGTGCAACGTACTGCCAGCAAGCCACTGCTGATGAAGCAACTAGTGAACATGTTCGGCTGCTGAAAGGTTGGAGGTTTGAGCCCACCCAGAGGTCCCATGAAAGGAAGGCCGGATGGCTTACTCCTGAGAAATCAGCCACTGAAAAGAATGTGTGGAACACACTTCTACGCTGACACACACGTGGACACCATGAGCTGGCGTGGACTTAACGGCCATGTGGTTTGTCTTTTCTTTTCCCGAGGTTTTATTAATTTTGTTGTTCTGGAGAATATACACAGAAAACATACAGCAGCCTAACCGTTTCTACAGGTGCCATTCAGTCACATTCTTTGAGCTGTGGAACATTCTGACCCCACTTGTCTCAGCTGCTACTCCTTGAGGAGTATACACTCGATGCCCCCTGAGGTTCCTCTAGAATCTCCCAAGCAGCTGTTGTTAGCTTAAGGTGACCTGCTGGTTCAGAGGTTAAGCACTGAGCTGCAAACTGAATGGTCAATGGTTCGATCCCACCAGGGACTCCACATGGGCCTGTGACCATCCGCTTCCATACAGATTTACAGTCTCGGAAACCCTATGGGGTAGTTCTTCTCCATCTTGTAGGGTTGCAATGTGTCAGACTCGACCCAACAGCAGTGGGGTATTTTTTTAAATGCTTGTGCAGGATCCCTGGTGGCACAGTGCTTGAGGCAGCTGGCTGCTAACTAAAAGATTGGTGGTTTGAATTTCCCCTCCACTCTAAGGGAGAAAGATGAAGCTGTCTGTTTCCAGAGAGATTCCCAGTCTCAGAAATCCTAGAGAGCAGCTCCACTCTGTTCTATAGGGTCAGAGCGGATCCAAATCCACTTGAGGCCAGTGGGTGGGTTGGCGATCTCGTTGCATACAATCAGTCTTTAACGATGGAGCACCCTGATTAAGATTGTCATGCTTTAGGACTTAGCTGGTTTGGGGTTTCCTGTCACAGACCAGGGGCCTCAGCTTAAAGATCTCCCAAGTCCTGATTCGTTTGGCACCCGGGTAATAGCCTTTCACCAAACTTATTCAATCTGTATGCTGAGCAAATAATCTGAGAACCTGGATTTTACGAAGAACACAGCATCAGGATTGACAAAGGCTCATTAGCAACCTGCGATACACAGATGATACAACCTTCCTTGCTGAAAGTGAAGAGGACATACCAATGAAGATCAAAGAGCACAGCCTTCGGTATGGATTGTGTCTCAATGTAAAGAAAACAAAAACCCTCACCACTGGACCAATAAACAACATTCTTATCAATGGAGAAAAGATTAAAGTTGTCCAACTTTGCTTGGATCAACCATCAACACTCATAGAAGCAGCAGTCAAGAAATTGAACAACATATTGCATTAGGTAGATCTGCTGCATAGGACCTCGGTAAAGTATTCAAGAGCAAAGATGTTCGCTTGAGCACCTGACCCAAGCCATGGTATTTTCAATAACCCCCATATGCATGCAAAAGTTGTACAGTGAATAAGGAAGACCATGGAAGAATTAATGCATCTGAGATTTGGTGTTGCATATTAAAAGTACCAAACCAATCTGTTGGAAGAAGTACAACCAGAATGCTCCTTGGAAGCCAAGATGGCCAGACTTTGTCTTCATACTTGGAACATATTGTCATCAGGGACCAATCCCTGAAGAAGGACATCATGCTTGGTCAAGTGGAGTGACAGAGAAAAAGAGGGAGAAACCCCATCAAGACAGATTGGTACAGGGACAACAGCAGTGGGCATGGGTTCAAACAAAGCAGCGATTAGGAGGAAGGTGCAGAACCAGGCAGTGTTTCATTCCGCTGTACATATGGCCACAGTGGGTCTAAACCAACGTGACAGCTCTTAGCAGCAACTGCTAATTCTTCCTGCTGCAGAGATTCAGGATGTTACTTCTACCTTCTTTTGGTGACTCCCTGTATCATTCAATAGTTGGCCAATAGAATCTTTCAGTATTGCAACCCAAAGCTTGGCTATGTTTCCCCAGTTCTTTCAGCTTCAGAAATGCTGAGTGTGTTCTTCCCATTTGGTTTTCTGGCTCCAGGTCTTTGCACTTTGTCATTATAATACCTCACTTCACTTTGTCCGCTCAAATAGCCCTTTGAAATTTTCAATTCAGAGTGCTTTTACTTACTCATACAGGAAGAAATGAAAAGGTCACATCAGCATTTCTTCATTCAAAGAACAAGTTTCAGAGTCTGTACTGACATCTGCTTCGGCCCTTTCCTTCTTCCCTGTCTTATTAACGACCTTTTGCTTTCTTCCTGTACGATGTTCTTGATGTCATCCCACAACTCCTCTGGTCTAAGGTTACTGTAGTGTGTAATGCATCAAATCTGTTCTCTAGATGACATGTAACTTGAGAGGGGATCTGTTCAAGGTCATATTTTGATTCTTGTGGATTTGTTTTCATCTCCCTTACGTCAGCCTGAACTTGTATATGAGCAATTAATAGTTTCTTCCACAATCAACCCTGGCCCTGCTTCAGCTGATGACACTGAGCTGCCCATTGTCTCCACAGATGTAGGCAATTTCATTCCTGTTTATTCAATCGGGTGAGGTGCATACGTAGAGTTTTCATCCACGGAGAACCCTGTGGGCACAGTCCTACTCTGACACACATGGGGGGGGTGCCATGAATGGGATCTACTTATAAAAACCCATCAGTGAGAACCCTGTGGGCACAGTTCTTCTCTGACATACATGGGGGCACCATGAGTGGAATCTACTTATAAAAAACCATCCACTGAGAACCCTGTGGGCACAGTCCTTCTCTGACATACACAGGGACACCATGAGTGGAATCTACTTTGAAACATCATCCACTGAGAACCCTGTGGGCAAAGTCCTTCTCTGACATACACGGGGACACCATGAGTGGAATCTACTTTGAAACATCATCCACTGAGAACCCTGTGGAGCACAGTTCTACTCGGACACACAGGAGCATTGAGTCAAGGTCAAGTTGAAGGCAACTGGTGGGTTCTCTCTCTAACAGGATACAACCCCAGCTGCTGGGTTACTGGGTAAAAAGATTTTTAGAAAAGACCTTGATCTGGGTTCATCCTCATGGAGCTATAGCCCCACAAGGAACCTGCTTGGTTGATTCCAGTTACCTGGGTCTGAGCCACTTTGGTCTAAGAGGCCATGGCATTCTGAAATTGAAGGGAAGGAGGGAGGAGTGGGAACTCAAATGGTGGGGGCAGAGGTCACAGTGCCAAGGCTAACAAAGAGGGAACCTGTTTCCAAGGGTGGGTGTCCCTTCCCTGGAGCCTGCTCAGCACTGGCCACTGGCCCATCCGTGTGATGGATGGTGGTGGTGGTGGTGGTGTTAGTGTACCATGGAGTTGGTTCTACTCCTCGCGACGCTGTGTAGAGTTAACGAGGCTGTAAACCTTTACTACAGCCTCATCTTTCTCCTACAGAACAGCTGGGAGTTTCAAACTGCTGACCTTGAGGTTCGCAGCCCGATTCATATTTTCCAACTACTGATCCTTCCTTTTTGCTCCCAACCTTTGCATTCCAACCAGTAATGATCAATACACCTTAATTGCATGTTTGATCAATTTCAGATTGAAGAAGTTGATAGAATTCTTCTATTTCATCCTCACTGGCTTTAGTGGTTGGTGTGTAAATTTGAATAATAATGGTATTAACTGGTCTTCCCTGTAGGTGCATGGATTTTTTCCTATCACAGACAGTGTTGTAACTCATGACTGATCTGAATATGTTCTTTTTAACAATGAATGCAACACCATTCCTCTTCAATTTGTCATTCCTGGCACAGTAAACCATATGGTTGTCAGATTCAAAATGACCAATACCAGTCCATTTCAGCTAATGCCTAAGATATCAATGTTTATGCGTTCCATTTCATTTTTGACAATTTCCAGTTTTCCTAGATTCATACCTTTGTACATTCCATGTTCTGATTATTAATGGATGTTGACAGCTATTTCTTCATTTTGAGTTGTGCCCCATCAGCAAATGAAGGTCCCGAGGGCTTTACTCCCACGGGCTTTACTCCATTCATGTCATCATGGTCAACTCTACTTTGAGGAGGCAGCTCTTCCCCAGTCGCATTTTGAGTGCCTTCCAACCTGAGGGGCTCATTTTCTAGCACTACATCTGACACTGTTTCTCTGCTATTCATAAGGTTTTCAGTGACTAAATATTCGGAAATAGTTCGTCACTCCTTCTTCCTAGTCTGTCTTTGTCTGGAAGCTCATCTGAAACCTGTTCACCATGGGTGCCCCTGCTGGTATTTAAAATACCAATGGCATAGCTTCCAGAATCACAGCTACTCACAAGCAACCACAGCACAACAAACTGAGATGAATGGTGGAGAATTCAGTTATAGGAAGATTTAAAAAAAAAACAAAAAAGAATTTTTTTATAAAGGAAATGAGGGTAAATTGTTACAATTTTATGAACTTGACCTATACTCATAGAGGTAGTAGCGCTAAATTCCAACAGGGGAAGGAGTCTTCACATCAAGTATCAATGCTATCCCTTCTGTACACAGTGTAGACAGGGATGGGCAACTTAAACATTGGCTACCTAAAATGAGGGGGCAATAAAGGCATGAAGTGACTGGCTTACAAGTTTTCAAGATGGAGTTTAGTTTAAGAGTGGGTGGAGAAGATAGAGTCCCCACCGAATAATTTTCATCTTATCTAGATGGGTCTGGTAAAAAGAGATGGGGACAAGATTCTTATGATTCAATAGTGAGTAATTGTTATCATGACTAATTGAGATTGTCACAATTGAAAAGGTAGAAGTTTAGTAACAAAAACAGGGAAGTAGTTAATCTTACAATCCAGAAACAGAGGACCCTAGGACCATCAAGGGAGAAGAGCATGAACGGAAAGCTGGACCTTATCCAGAGAAGCAGCGACACCAGAGATGGAGGCAGAGATGGGGACATGGAGAGAGGGAGCAGCTGAGGACTCTAGATTCATGGGAATTAAGGGACTAAGAGCTGGCAGCCAGGAGGCAGACTTGCAGAATGTGCCCTTTGGTTGTTTAAATTATTATATATGCCTGAGTGTTTAAAAGAAAAAAAAAGAGCTAAAATGGAAACAAACAAACAAACTAACTAACTAACACCTCACTGATCTCTAGCTGCTGGGCCCTAGGCGATCAATTTCTGCAGTCGATTTCAACGTGGGAAACACAGAGAAGTATGAGAGACAAAGAACAGAGTCTGAAACTTGGCTCCACTACAGGAATGTCAAGAGATAAACAGTGGAAGGCACTTAGGAAAAGGGATATAAAAAAGGTCATTACCATTTCTGAAAGAGGTCAGCATGCAAACAGCTAAGAAAGTCCCAGAATCAAGTCAACAGCTGCCATGAAGGAGACATGGTGCAGGAAAAAGGAAAACAGCCATGACTCCGATGAGAAATCCCACACTTCCCCTCTGCAGGGCCCACAGTGTTCTTGATTTAACCCTTGCGGTGAACAACCCAGTCTCATGTGCAAATTTCCCACCCCAATCCTCCACAAATCCAGCAATGCAGGTAAAAAGCAAAGTGAAAACAACAACAAATGAACTCATGGCGCCTCCATGTGGCCCAGAGTGGAACTGCACTCCCAGAGGGTTCTTGATGGCTGACATTTCACAAGTAGACCTCCAGGTGTTTCTTCTGCGGTCCCTCTGGGTGAACCCACCTCCTTTCAGCTTTCAGCCAAAAGAGGACTATGGGACTAGAGTCAATTAACCAAACGGATGTACTTGTTTCATAGCAAATTAACTGAAAACTTGCAGAAATGTATAGCCTTGTTGTATTAGTCAGTCTCCATGGGCCACCGCCCCCTCTGAGAAAGCCCCTGACCCGTGTCCTGGAAAGCTGAGCACGTGGTCAGCAGATGCCTCCATCAGCTGAGCTGCGTGTCCACCACATCACATGACTCTTCCTGTTCTTATGTTTCTTACGAGGCTCATTTATTCTAATTTATGTGAGTCCAAACAAACTGAAAACCCAGGACGAAAGGGCTGGCCATCGACTTCCCAACATCAGCCAGTGGAGCACCACTCAACACTGTTCGACTCGCTGGTCTTGGACACATCGTCATCAAGGAGAACACCTGTTGGGTGGGGTAGGGGGTCAGCAAGGGTGAGGTAGACCCCCAGTGAGACAGATTGGCACAGTGGTCCCAAGGATGAACTCTCACATCTGTTGACTATGCAGAGAGCACAGCTTCATGTGGGCTCACCATGAGCACATCTGTCTAGCTCACAAATGATAATCTGTCTTCAATCAAATGAAAAACCCACACAAAATTTAAAAGCGGCAAAACAAAGTGATCCAGCTAGGCGTGGGCCAGTCAGTTGTTTGTGTAAAGTTCTAGGGGCTTCAGATCTACCTCTCCCTCCCTCCCCTCCCCCACTAAGCACTGAGGTTTGTATCCATTTTAGAGAAACACAAATTGGAAATTTGGATATTGTGGTAGAGATAAGGAAGAAAAAACAAGGAGCCCCTACTCAAAGAATGCTGGCCAGGGTCCACCTCACAAATGCAGTTGTGTACAGCACGTTGCTGCAGGGACTAGGGGCTGAAGTGAAACCCCACCAATGTCCAAGGATGAGATGCCGTGGGGAGATTCCCCCACGGACACAGATGCTGTCCAAATTATGGCCTTAAACGTACCATATTTCAAGCATATATCTATTTTTAAATTTACTTTCACCAACTTTTTTGATGAAGCAATCAGCAGTTCCAGTTCCTTCAGCTAAGAGAACTTCTCACATGTCTTATACCAAGGCCTCCACAGAGAGTATACAATCCAGAGCCGGAGTGGAGCACAAGCCCAGGAAGGAAGGAAGCGAGAGATAGAATGGATGGATGGATGGGTGAACGGATAGGTGAATGAACCAGTAAACAAAAGATGGCATGGATGAGCAAATGAATGGATGAGCGAAGGAACAAGTGAAGAAATGATTGAGTGGATGGACAGATGAGTGAATGACTTGATGAAGAAATGAATGAGTGAACAGTGGAATGAATGAATGAATGAAGAAACTATGGAACTATGGAACAGAGGAACAGATGGGTGGATAAACCATTGAACAAAAGGAATGAATAAATGAATAAGGGAGCAAACAGATGAATGAATAAGTGAACAAATGAATGACTGGATGGATCAGTGAACCTGTGAATAGATCAATGAACAAATGATGGACAGATGGATGAACAAATGAGAGGTTGAATGAATGAATGAACAAATGAAGTCCGTTTGTGGGCGGACCTCCAGGGGAGGATGCTTGGTCAGCCCACAGCCTGATGCACTCAGCAAGATGCACAGGTGCGCCCAGACCAGGTGTGAGGGGATCACACACCACCAGGTGTGCTGTCTCATCCAGACAGTGCGCCTCCTCCTGGCTCTGTCTGGAGGCTCCGTATTTCCCTCAGTCTCAACCAGCCTCCCTGATATGAACTGTGATCTTTCATTCCATTTCCACACCCGAGATCTATTGCAGGGGAGTTACAGACACAAGATGGTTTAAGGAGTTAAGTTACAGACACAAGATGGTTTATCACCAAGCTGATTCTGGTTCACAGCGGCTCTGCAGAACAGAATGGGGCTAACCCCAGGGTTTCCCACGCTGGCACCTTTACGGAAGCACACTTCTAGATTGTTCTCCAGAAGAGGGGCTGTTAGGTTTGAACCACCAACCTTTCAGTTTGCAGCCAAGCACTTAGCCGTTGTACCACCAGGGCTCCTAAGACCAGCTTAGGCAGAAGAAAAATCAAAATAAAACAAAAGATAAAAACCAGGATATTAGGAAACTCCTGGTAAACAACTGTGCTGTCAGCAAACAGGACTGGACTGCTGAACTGTATGCTCTGGACTGCACTGAGCCTAAAAATAGGCAGTAAGACGGTGAAAACATCAACACTGAATCAATTGCACAAGACTGTACAACACATCGGGTGAGCTCCAGAAAGGACAACAAGGATTAAAATATAGTTTATAAAAAAGGAAAGAAAGAAAAGCAAAAGTATATATGAGTGCAAGAAGTAGGGGAAAAAAAAATCATATATATATATATATAGGAGCTCTGGTAGCGTAGTGGTTACGAATCGGGCTGCGAACCTTAAGGTCAGCGGTTCGAAACTACCAGCCGCTCCGCGGGAGAAAGATGAGGCTTTCTACTCCCTCGGAAACCCTGTACAGGGTCGCTATGGGTCGGAACCGACTCGACGGCACTTAACAACAACAACAACAAATATATATAAAAAAGTCCTGGTGTGGCACCATAAGATTAGCACTGGGCTGTTAACTGCAAGGTTGGTGGTTCTAATCCACCATCCACTCCTTAGAAACCCTTTACAAAAAGGCTTCTTGACTCAAAGGCAGTTAACAACAACATAAATCATATATTCAATATGCTCTCAATTGTGGTAAAGATGAAATGCAGTAAATGAAAAATGATGTAAGCATATTTATATATCATACATGAAATACAAATGAAAAAATAATCCCCAAACCAAATCCATTACCAGCAGGTGGATTCCGACTCAGCCATGCTGTGGACACAGTCGAACTGCTCTGAAAGGTTCCCAGGGGTGTAAATCTCCACAGAAGCAGGCTGCCATATGTATCTTTCTCCTACAGAGTGGTTGCTGGGTTTGAACTGCCAACCTTTGGGTTAGCAGCTGAGCGCTTAAATGCTGTGCCACTACGACTCCTCGTTAGCGATTCCACAAAAACCAAACCCACTACCATTGAGTGGTTTCCAACTCATCGTGACCTGGTATAGGGTTTCCGAGGTTGTAACATTTTATGGGAGCAGAAAGCCTCATCTTTGTCCTGCAGAGTGAGCTATTGGTGGGTTTGAACCATCAACCTTACAATCAGTAGTCTAGTGCTTATCCTACAGTGCCACCAGGGCTCCTTTTATAAGCTCCTGGATCTCCAAAAGACACCCTGAGGAGAACTGTAGGCAAGGACCTGTGGGTCCATCACACTCCCTGTAACTGCAGGACACCGGGGCTCCCCGCTCCAATGCTCCTGGGGGGACTCACCAGCCAGGGCTGAGGGATATCCGGCAGGGGCAGCTGAGGAGGGGCCGGCAGGCTGTTGGTGGTCTCCTGTTTCTGAGCATGATCTTTGCCTTCAAAACCTGTAAGAAGTAAGCAAACAGCAGACGGAAATGAGGAGGGAGGAGGGGGTGCTGGGAGCAGATACTCCTTCCTTCACAATGGCTCTCCACAGGTAACAGACACCAGCGGCTACAAGATTGGTCCTGGCTCCTGGGCAACACTCTTCCCAGGGTCCCACTGCCTCTCAAGACAAGTAAGCACAGCGTGGGAGAGCCCTGCAAGTGCCACACTGAGCCAAGTTGTGGTTTAGCACCGTCGAGTTGGTTCTGACTCACATGGACCCTGTATGGGGTTTCAGAGGAGCAGGTGGTGGGTGTGAACTGACCTTCTAGTTAATGGCCCAGTGCTTATCCTACTGCACCACACCAGGACTCCTAAGCCAAGCTGTTGTTGTTAAGTGCTGTTGAATTGTTTCTGGCTCTTAGTGACCTGGTATAGGGTTTCCAAGGAGCAGCTGGTGAGCTTGAACCACTGACCTTGCACTTAGTGGTACAGTGTTTATCCTACAGTACCGCATCAAGACTCTGGAGCCCAGCTGTTGTTAAGTGCCGTCGAGTTGGTTCCAACTCAAAAGGACCCTGTATATGGTTTCAGAGGAGCAGCTGGTGAGCTTGAACTGCTGACCTTGCAGTTAACAGCCCAGTGCTCATCCTACAGTACCACACCAGGACTCCTGACTCAGTCACACTGTTGTTATGTGCATTGTTTAGGTTCTGACTCAGAGCAACCATTTATACGGTTTCTGAGGCTTTAAATCTTCGGAGTGGCTGGGAAAGAGTGAGACCCACCAGAATGTGCTGTTGCGTTGACGCTGGCTCAGTGTGACCCTGTGTGACACAGTAGAACTGCCCTTGGGGTTTCCTGTACTTGAATCTTTTCAGCTAAAACAGAGGGTCAGAGGGAAAGAGGAAGACCCTCAATAAGATGGATTCACGCAGTGGTTGCAACATGGGCTAGAAGCCTAGCGATGATTGTGAGGATGACGCAGTACGTGAAGCCTAGCGATGATTGTGAGGATGACGCAGTACGTGGGGGGCTTCGAAAAGCTCATAGAGAAAAGTCAGTCATCATTTAATTCCATTGTCCCCTAATATGTAAGACTGCTGAGTCGAAATGGATTCAACTGCACCAAACAAAATAGAAACAAATCTCTATGTAAGCAGATCACTACGTCTTTCTCCTGAGGAGCCGCTGGTGGGCTCGAACCACAGACCTTTCAGTAAGCAGTTGAGCACTTAACCGTTGCACAACTGGGACTTCTTAAGTAAATATATAAACCGCCTGATGCCTCCAAGTCTATTTCATCAAGTCGTTCTGACTCTTGGCCACCCTGCATAGGGTTTCCAAGGAGTGGCTGGTGAGCTTGAACTGCTGACCTTGCAGTTCAAGCTAACCTTGCAGTCCAGCGCATTAACCCACAGCACCACACCACGACTCATAGTGACCTTATGTAGGGTTTCTGAGGCTGTAAATCTTTATGGGAGCCTTATCTCTCTCCTTTGGAGCAGCTGGTCAGTTTGAACAGTCAACTTTGCAGAGAGTAGCCCAGTCTTTATAAGCAAAGATATAGAAAAACTTGAAAGTATCAGTGGTTACAAGAGGGAGGAAAGAGGCAGGGAGTCCCTGTACGAGGTGGTGGGGCAATGTGGAAAGGACAGCGAGAACGGCTGCGCTACTTGAAAAGTGTGAGCATGTGACTGAACTGGACAGGTGGAAATTGTTGAATTGATGTGTGTTTTGCTGTGTATATGTATTTTGTGCAGAGTATATTTTCATCATGCTTAAAAAAGTACCACGGACTGCCAGAAGAACAAACAAATCTGTGTTGGAAGAAGTACAGCCAGAGTGCTCCTTAGAAGCCAGGATGACCACACTTTTGTCTCTCATACTTAGGACATATTATCAGGAGGGACCAATCACTGGAGAAGGACATAATGTTGGGTAAGGTAGAGGGTATGTGTAAAAGAAGAAGACCCCCAACGAGATGGATTGTCACAGTGGCAGCAGCGATGGGCTCAAGTGGATTATGAGGATGGAGAGAGATCGGACAGTGTTTTGTTCAGTTGTGAATAGAGTCAGAACTGACTGAACGGCACCTAAAACAACAGCAAAAACAAACGAAAGGCAAGCAGCTAAGCCCTCTCTCTGCTCAGGTTGGTCTTCTCCTGGCCACAGGGAGCAGGTGCTGTCCTGAACATCCTTAGTTATTAACTGTTCTCTTAGCAGCCAGGCAGATTCTGCGATGGGCGTGCCTGATGGGGGCTCAGGTCTACCAGGGCAAACATAGAGCAGAAGGACCAACAGACACACCACTGTTGGTCACAAAGTGTGGTCAGCAGTATGCCAGCAAAGGTGGACAAGAGCAGACTCAGGCTTCCCTGCGGACAGACTCTGTAACGACCTGGAGAGAGCTGGGAAACTTCCTTAAATTTTACGTCATGGGCTGTCTTGGATTGTATTGTGCCCCTCCCCCCACCTCCCCAAACAGATGTCCACTTGGCTGGGCCAGGATTCCCAGAGGTTTGGCAGTGATGTGGTTATCCCCATGTGAGACCTGATATAGGCATAGTTAGCTCTATGATGATTGGCTATGAGCAGCCAATCAGTTGAAAGGATGCTTCCTTGGGGGTGTGGCCTCCTCCCACTATAAATGGACAAGCAAGCCAAGTGTGCTTTCTTTGTTCCACTGGGGACCTGGGAGTCTACAATTGTGAGCCATTTCCCTGATAGCAACTTTAATTTCTATCTATACATATATCACTTTCACTGGTTTTGTGTGTCTAGAAAACCCAGCCGAACACAATGTCATTGTCTTCCATGTTGGGATTGGATGCAATTACTCTATGTTGTAATGGAGTCCTGGGGTGGCGCTGTGGGTTAATGCGCCGGACTGCAAAGCCGTTTGAATGGCAAGGCTGGTAGTTCAAGCTCACCAGCTGCTCCTCAGAAACCCTATCCAGGGTCGCTGTGGGTCGGAGCCGACTCGACGGCACTTCACATCAATGATAGTGATGTGACTGAGGCAGGCTGTAACCTGCAGGATGAGGTGCTGCCCTGTTTTGAGATAGAAGAGAGAGGAGACAAATGAGCAGATGAGAGGGGCTTGCAACCACCAGACAAAAGATCCAGATGCCCGTGCTGGGCACCTTCTCAACCCCAGGAAGACTGGTGCCAAGACATACGGAAATGTCCAAGGGATGGTAACCTCACAGATGCTGCAAGGAGACCGGGACCTTCCTCAGCTGTGAACCCACAAAGGGAGAAAGCCTTCTGAGAGCTGGTGCCCGAATGCAGACGTCTGGTCTCCCGAACGATGAGAGAACACAATGCTGTTTGTTATAGCCATCCACGTGTGGTACAGTTGCTGGAGCGACTCGGGAGCAGAGAGGCATGGAGTCTACACAATGGTGCACTGTGGGGTTGACTACAACTCACAACAGCCCCATGTGAGAGTGTACGTCCCACGTGAGAGAGTGTACGTCCCACATGAGAGTGTACGCCCCACGTGAGAGAGTGTACATCCCACATGAGAGTGTACGCCCCACGTGAGAGAGTGTACGTCCCACATGAGAGTGTACGCCCCACGTGAGAGAGTGTACGTCCCACATGAGAGTGTACGCCCCACGTGAGAGAGTGTACCCCTCACATAACGTTTCCTAGGCTGATATCTTTATGGGAACACATCTTCAGGGTTTTTTCCCTGCAGAGCCTCTGGGTGGGTTTTGAAATGTGAACCTTTTGGTTCGCAGGCGAGCGCTTAATCATTGCTCCACCAGGGCTCATTAAGTCCTACTTCTTGACGTCTAGAAGCTGCAAGGCAGAGAACGTTGGCAGACAGCTGAAAACAAAAGACAAGAGCCACCGGAAGTTCTGCCTCCAAAATATACATACAGGTAGACCTCGGAGACATAGTGGGTTCTGTTGTAGGCCACCACAATAAAGCAAAGAAGACGATAAAGCCACATGAAGCTCTGGATTTCTCAGTGCATGGAAACATCATGCTTACATGGTACTGTCGCCAACTAAAGGAGCCTGGTAGCACTGTGGCTTAGGCATTGGACTTCTAACTGCAAGGACAGAGGTTCAAACCCACCAGCCACTCTATAGGAGAACGATGAAGCTATCTGCTCCCTTAAAGATTTATAGTCTCGGAAACACTCCATAGGGCTGCTAAGAGTCAGAATCACCTCGGTGGGCTTGGTGGTCCATGACATAGCAATAATGGTATGAGCAACATTTTAAATATGTCGATGCAGAGATGCCAAGTGAGCAGATGCTGTTCAGACAATGGCGCCGACAGACTCGTTGGACGCGGGGCTGCCGGGAACCTTCTGTTTGTAGCACACTCGGCAGCTGCAAAGCACAATACATAAGAGGAGGTGTGTCTGAAGCCAAAACTAATCAATCAGTGGTGACACCAAGGCAAGTGAGGCACCTGAAGAGAGACCTGGTGACTTCCAGCCTGCAGCACGGAGGAGACTGCCCCGAGGGAACTCACCAGGTGAAGGGAGAGGAAGTCCAGGAGAGCAGCAGCAGTAGAGGTGAGGCAGCAAAGCCCCCAAGCCCATCACGACCCGACAGGGCAGTGCAGTTACCGAGACTGTAAATCTTTACAGGATAAACCGCTTCATCTTTCTCCTGAAGAACGGGCAGCTGGTGGGTTTGAACCACCAACCTTGAGGTTTGCAGCCCCTTGTCTAACTCATAGTGCTACCAGGGATCCTTCATTAAGACACAGTGGGGTCAGAAACTGCAGTGTGTGAACTCCATGCATCACAAAAGGACAGACAATATATAACCATACATATGGGAGGTATTCGGAGTCCTGGTGTGGCACTGTGGGTTAATGCGCTGAACTGCAGAGTCTGTTTGAACAGCAAAGAGGTTGGCGGTTCAAGATCACCAGCCACTCCTCAGAAACCCTATACAGGGTCGCTATGGGTCGGAACCGACTTGACAGCATTTAATAACAACAACAAATATGAGATATCCGGAAGAGGCAAAAGTGTGGTTGCCAGGGACAGGATGGAGGGGAACTGAGAACACTGTTGAGGCAGCGTTGAATTTCTGTTTCTGGAGATGGAAGATTTGACAGCAGAAATCAGGGCCCAACGTGGTCGATGAATTGTACACATGAAGGGTGCTGAACTGGGAAGTGTTGGGTTACCTGGTTTTACGACAATAACAACGATGCTTGTGAAAAAACAGTGAAATGAGGAGAAATGTAAATGGAGTGGAATCAAAGCGTACGCTGCGTCCAGATACAGATTTTTAAAGTTAAAGGGTGAATAACTGACAGACTCTCATAATATAATCTGAAAAATGTTCAGAATACAAGCAAAAGATAAAAGCGAAAAACATCAACATCAAGAATGGAAAAAAGGACGCCTCATAGATGTTAAAGCAACGGAAATGATGGTGAGAAATTCGAGGTGACAGAGACCCTAACCAAACTCATCGCCGTCCCATCGATTCTGGCTCACGGTGACCCCACGGGATGGAGCGGGACTGCCCTGGGTCGCTTCCGAGTCTGTCACCCTAAGGGAGACACAAGGCCATACCTTTCTCCCACAGAGCTGTTGGTGACTTGGAACCACTGACCTCTGGTTAGCAGTGGGGTGCTTTACACGCTGGGCCACCAAGGCTCCTACTGGTGACAACATAGATGGAAGTTTGGTGACAATGAATAAAGTCTTAGAGAGCACACTATACCAAAACTGTCACCAAAGTAAGCAAAGTCTGTATTGTCGCTGCTGAGTGCTGTCGATTCGGTTCCAATTCAGTGATCCTGTGTAGGGTTTCTGAGGAGCAGCTGCTGGGTTTGAACTGAGAATTTGTATGAAAGGGATATGAATTTGACCCCCCTCTAAGACTGAAACTCAAAGGGAACACAGAAACAGAGCAGACATGTAAGCTTGCTGGTGACCACATTGATCTATTGGTGAGTGGAAGAGGGGGAAAGGCAGCAATGAAGAAATGGGCTGAGTTCAACCACAGTCCATTGACTCCTGTTGACCTGGAGATGAGATAGAGAAGAGGATGGGATGGTTGGTCCAAAGTGTGGTGAGACCTGAGGACACTTGAGTCCATGGACAAGGACATAGCCACAGAGGGACAGAGCTGAGAGTGAAGCATCCAGCTGACGTAAAGTGAGAGGAGATGCACAAGAACACCCAAACTCGCAGACAGCACCCATTTGACCTGGCCTCGATGGCTTGATAATCAGAACTTGATGAGAGGAAGGTAAAAAAAAAAAAAAAAATTTTTTTTGATAAAGGAAACAAGTGTAAATTGCTACAATTTGATGAACTTGACCTGTACTGATGGATGTAATATCTAAAACTACCAACAGCAAGGGAAGGAGTCTTCACATCAAATATCAATGCTATCCCCTCTGTACACAGGGTAGATAGGGATGGGCAACTTAGACATCGGCTACCTAAAATGAGGGGGCGATAAAGGCATGAAGTGACTGGCTTACAAGGTTTCAAAAGGGAATTTAGTTTAAGACTGTGTGAGGGAAGATGGAGTCCCCACTGAATAGTTTTCATCTTCTCTACATGGGTCTGGTTAAAAGAGATGGGGATAAGATTCTTATGATTCAATAGTGAGTAATTGTTATCATAACCAATTGCGACTGTCACAACTGTAAAGGTAGAAGTTTTGTAACAAAAATGAGGGAGCAGTTAATCTTACATTCTAGAAGTAGAGGAGAAGAGCACAAGTGGAATGAGAGACCTTATCCAGAGAGACAGCAACACCAGAGATGGCGGCAGAGATGGGGACATGGAGAAAGGGAGCAGCTGAGGACTCTTGATTCATGGGAAGAGAGGGACTGAGTGCTGACAGCCAGGAGGCAGGCTGGCAGAAAGTGCCCTTTGGCGGTTTAAATTATTATATATGCCTGAGTGTTTCTGTGTACATCTCCCCCCACCCCAAAAAAACAACAACACAGGGAATGGAAGCAAATCCTTTTGAATGACGACGCACGGAGGAGATTGTAATCATTGCAATGAAATGATGGTGTAAAGCAGATGTTCTTCCTTATAAACTATCACTCAGTTCACAATAAAAATTTTACAAAGAGGTCTTTTGCAGATTTGCCCAATGCAATACACCCCTTGATTTCTTGGCTGTTACTTCCATGAGTGTTCATTATGGATCCAAGTAAAATGAAATCCTTGACAACTTCAAAAAAACAAAAAGGGATATGAATTTGTAATTACAATCTTCCCCACAAAGAAAAGCAAAGCAAAAAGCCAACCTCTGCTCCGCTGAGAGCAGGAGTCTGGAACAGACAGAAAAAGTCATTTACAGACTGGAAAGGATTCCTCGTGGTGGTTAAGTGCCGTCAAGTTAGTTCCGACTTATAGTGGTCCTATACAGGGTTTCAGAGGAGCAGCTGATGGATTTGAACTACCTACCTGGTGGTTCGCAGTCCAGTGCTGATTATATAGTGCCACTCCAGGAGTCCAGATAAAAATAAACACAAACCCGCTGTCATCGAGTTGATTTTGACTCATAGCAGCACTGTGTAGGTTTCTGAGTCTGCAAATCTTTACAGGAGCAGAAAACCTGTTGTTTTTCTCCTGTGGAGCGAATGGTGGATTTGAACTTCTGATCTTGCATAACCCACTAGGCAACCATGGTTCTTTGTATTGATAAAGGCAGTCCTAAATATCCACAGCATTTACAAGGTATCAGGCAAGGCTTTGAAATATCTGACATCATCTCCTTCAGGATTGGAGCCTGAACCAGACTCACCTCCCTCACCCTTTCTTATTCAGGGAGATACTGGTGGTTTGGGAGGGTGGGGTGCGGAGGGGCGTAACTTGTACGAGACCCCACTTTTGGGTCTCACACATCTGACCAGCTTGCAGAGTGGCCTGGAGACCCCAGGTACAAATGGTTTGGAGGTTCAGCTGCTAACTAAGAGGTTGACGGTTCAAATCCACTCAAAGGTGCTGAAGACGAAAGGCTTGGAGATCTACTTTTGTAAGGATGGTGGCTGGGTGCTCTGGAGTTGATTTGGACTCATAGAGACCCAGAATAGGGTCTCCGAGGCTGCAAATCTTTATAGGTGCAGAAAGCCTCATCTTTGTCCTGAGAAACGGCTGGTGGACTTGAACTGCTGACCTTGTGTTCAGCAGCCCTGCACATAACTCACTACGCTACCAAAGCTCCTTTTCCATGAGGACTAGAGTCAGGAACTGGAGCACAGTTCTAAGCTGACGCACAGCAGACAGCCCAGAGTCGGAATCAACCGGATGGCCGTGGATTTGACTTTTGTTTGCTCCTCTAGCTATGCCCTGAAGTAAGACCCTGGTGCCGCAGCGGGTTACACACTGGGCTGCTACTCGCAAGCTCAGCAGTTCAAATCCACCAGATGCTCCTCAGGAGAAAGGTGAGGTTTTCTGTTTCTGAAGAGATTTATAGACTCGGAGTTGGAACTAACCCAACGGCACATAACAACAACATGGCCTACAGAGGGAGCCTAGTGGTGCAGTGGACTAAGCACCCGGCTGCTAACTTAAGACTGGCAGTTTGATGCCAGCTGCTCTGCGGGAGAAAGATGAGGCTGTCTGTGTCTTTGCAAACCCAGAAGTCAGCTCTACAGGGTCGCTGTGGGCTGGAGGGGACTTGCTGGCAGTAGCTGTAGGTAGGGTTTGGTTTATGCCCTACAGGAAGAGCACAGTTGCTTAGGGCTGGGCTGCTAACAGAAAGGACAGAGATTCTCACACCGCTGCTGAGCGGGAGAAAGTCCTGGCAATCTGCTTCTGTAGATCTGACTGCCCAGAGAGCCCAAAGGGGCAGTTCTGGTCTGTCACACGGGGTCTCTGTGAATCAGAACTCACTCGCTGCACCCAACAACAACAATCGCACCTGCAAGTCTCCTGGGCAACGCCATTGCCCCCAGACGCCTCAGTCCCAGATGTTCTCTGCGGGGCACTGGGTGTGGAGGAAGGACTCGCCAGCAGGTCGGCCCAGAGCTGTCAGCCGGAACCTGAACTTTGGGATGATCCCCAACACCCTAACTGGTAAGAGCAGCTCCTTCTGGCAGCACTGTGAAAACTTGCATCTTTTCAAAAAAATAATAAAACAAAACTTGAAGGCACAAAAAGACCAGATCTGGTTAGGCACTGAACCGCAAGGTCGGTTTGAACCACAAGGTCAGCGGTTCAAAGTCATTAGCCGCCCCTTGGAAGCCCTATACAGGTTTGCTGTGAGTCAGAACCAACTCGACAGCACTTAACAACGGGTGGGATCCCCGAGGGACTGTGACCCTTCGTCACCCTTCAGGCCTGGAACTAAACTCAGCTCCGTGCCTCAGCCACACAACAGACAGGTCTGTAAGGGGAACACCAACACCTTAGAACATCACCCATTTCAGGTCAGAAGACAGCATTTCCCCCGGGATAAAGTTCAAGAAGGGATTGGAGAGAAGGAGGAATGGAGACAGGAAGCACAGAGAGAAAGTGATGTCACACTGTGGGGATCGTTGGGAAACGGAGGCTCCGTCACCTTTACCCATCAATCCACAGTCTAAAGTTTACAAAATAAGCGATTTAAAGACGGCCCAGAAGTGAGACGAGACGGGGAGAAGACCAGGCCAGAGGACAATACCCACCCTTGGAGGACTGGACCCTCAGGAGAATGTTAGCAATCACAGTCTTCTTCTCCCGGACGGTGGGCGTCAGGTGCTCGTGGTCTAGCAGATCCAGAAAGAGCCGGAGCTCTACGATTAACTCTTCCATTGCTGGAGCAAAGGAGACAACAAGGGTTAGTATCCAGCCCACAGATTATGACATGCCAAGACACGAAAGTTCACTTTAACTCCAAGCACTGGATGTAGTATCCCAACAGTAGGGGTGAGGGCCCTGGGGGTCCGTGGCAGAACTCTTGCTTTCTACTCAGGAGTCTGCACCAGAGGCTGATGCGTTCCCGTGGACGCTGAGCAGCTCTCAGTGGAGCGTCCAGGCTAAGACGGGCAGGAAGAAAGGTCTGGCAATCACCTTGTGACAACCAGCCAGTGAAACCATGTGTATGACAATAGCCAGATCTGCAGTCCATGACTAGAGAGCACCTCATTCTGCTGGGCACACCGCCGCAGGAGGCAGGCTGCCAACTTATGACAAGAAGAAGGTGGAAAACAAGCCTGCTGACCAGGTCAACTAGAGGATTCACATATCTTGTAGACATGTGTAGACAGCTCCCTCTCTTCTGCATGGAGGCAGCAAAAGTCATGGCCGAATGAGCGGAATGTGGGACCTATCCAGAGAATACATCCATGATATTAGACAAACCTTGCCTTAATGTTAAATTAAGGAGCTCTGGTAGCGTAGTGATTACGAATCGGGCTGCGAACCTCAGGGTCAGCAGTTCGAAACTACCAGCTGTTCTGCGGGAGAAAGATGAGGCTTTCTGCTCCTGTAAAGATTTACAGCCTTGGAAACCCTGTATAGGGTCGCTGTAGGTCAGAACTGACTCCACGACACATAACAACAATCCAGAGAAGCAGTGTGCTGGACTGCAAGGTTGGTGGTTCAAGCTCACCAGCTGCTCCTTGGAAACCCTATACAGGGTCCCTATGAGTTGGTGCTGACTCAATAGCACTTAACAACAACAACAACATCTAGAGAAGCAGCGACACCAGAGATGGAGGCACAGATGAAGACATGGAGAGAGGGAGCAGATGAGGACTCTAGATTCATGGAAAAAGAAAGGCCGTGAGCTGGCAGCCAGGGGGCAAGCTTGCAGAATGGGCCCTTTGGTTGTTTCAATTCCTAAGTGCTTTTGTGTACACCCAGGAAGAAAAACAAAAACCAAACAGAGGGAATCGAAGCAAATGCTGTTGAATGATGATACACGGAGGGGATTGTAATCATTGTGATGAAAAAAAACATGGAAACCGATGTTTTCCCATGTAAACTATCACTCAATTCACAAGAACTTAAAAAAAAAAGTCACAGCCTAGGCCACTCCAAAGCCAGGCTGCCACAAAGGGCTGCGACCCTACACCACATCATCATTCTGGGTCATCGGGAGGATGACCCACAGGTATGGAGGTGGCCTCAGTGCACGGTGGCCCTACATAGGGTTCTGAGGCTGCAGTAGCAGAAAGCCTCCTCTTTCTCCTACGGAGAACCCAGTGGGTTTGAACTGCTGACTGTGTGTGTGGTTAGCAGTCCACTGCTTATCCAGCAGCATCACCAGGGCTCCTAAGAAGGAGGTGAGGGTTTCAACCACACGTTCGCAGAAAGCTGGCCCCCAGCGCCCTGCCTCGGAAGCACAGGCCCCATCCCGGGACAACTCTGAGCATGTTTGCACAGTTAAATCATCGGTACAGACACGCAGAAGGGGTCGGAGCTGCCTTGCTCTGTAGTCCTCTCCTCCTTGGGCTTTGTTGCCTTGGCTAAAGATCACCACAAAACTGCAGGGCACGGCCGCGTCCAAATGTCTAATCATATGGTCTGTGTCCCTCTGGATGGACCCCAAGCCCCTTTAGGAAGCCCACAAGGCTGAAGTAGTCTTCACCACTGTTGTTGTTGGGTATTGGCAAGTCAGCACTTAACTCATGCACAACCTGACCTAGCTCAGCTTGGTCCTGCACCGTCCCATCAGCTGTGGATTGCTTTGTTGTGATGGAATGTTTTCATTGGCTGATCTTCCGAAGGAGTTCTCCAGGCCTTTCTTCCTAGTGTGTTTTGACGTAGAAGCTCCGTTGAAATCTCCTCAACATCACAGCAAGTCACAGCCTCCCCTGACACACAGTGGTGGTTATACAGAAGGTGTACTCACTGAGAATCGAACCCTGGTCTCTCTCACAGAAGGCGAGAATCCTACCCCTGAACCATTAAGTACCTTCCTCGGAAACCCTGTACAGGGTCGCTATGGGTCGGAACCGACTCGACGGCACTTAACAACAACAAGGAGCCTGGCGGTACGCTCAGTGATGGGTCCACACCAACCCTCCAGGATGGGCATCCTTCCCACCGTTTTACAGGTGAGAAATTGGGAGCCAGGTGGGTCAAGTTTTTGCCTAAGGCTATTGTCAAAGTTCAGGGTACCAGTCAGCACCCAGTCTGTAGGATCCTAATGCCCCTCGGGTTACTACCAGAACCCCTGGTGGCGCAAATGGCAAACAGACTCAGCTTCTGGCGGAAAGGTTGGCGGTTCAAGTCCACCCAGAGACTCGTTCCTCAAAAGAAAGGTCTGGCAGCCTTCTTCTGAAAAATCAGCGATGAAAATCTACGGTGGACAGTTGGACTCAGACGCACACAGGGAGTCATGATTGTGAGGTCACTGAATCACAACTGGGTTTTGTTTTTTAATTGTTTATGCATCAGACTGCAAAGTCATTTGAACTGTAAGGTCGGTAGTTCAAGTTCACCAGCAGCTCCACGGAAACCCTATACAGGGTCACTATGGGTCAGAATTGACTCGACGGCACTTAACAACAACAGCAATCAGAATACTGACCTTCCTGTAGGATGAGCACTGGACTGCAAACCACAAGGTCCATGGTTCAAACCCAGCAGCTGCTCCTTGGAAGCCCTATACAGGGTCACTATGGGTCGGAACCGATTTAACGGCACTTCACAACAAGCTTTGTTCATGGTGGAAGGAAGAGCGTGCTCAGCACAAACAGATTAGCTCCTGATTACACCCTACAAAGTCCTTCTATCACTATATTGCTACTGTTCTGAAGTGCCATCCGGTCAGTTCTGACCCACAGCGACCATGTATCTATCTGGGGTGCCGAGGAGCGGCTGGTGAACTTGAACCGCCGACCTTGCAGTTCAAACTGACTTTGCAGTCCAGCGCATTAACCCACAGCTCCACACCAGGCCTCCACTAGCTCTTACATTAAAAACATAAACATAAACTAGTCTTAGAATTCAAAGACCGTCAGTCCTACTCTCCCATTTTATAGGTGGAAACTGAGGTCGCAGAGCGCCGAATACTGGCCAGAGAGAACAGCCAACTAGTTGTTTTCTAATGTATGAAACGCTTCCCGTCTTACCTCATTTGGAGTCCTGGTGTGAGTAAGTACTGAACTGCCAATCATAAGGTCAGCGGTTCAAACCCACCAGCTGCTCCCTGGAAGCCCTATACAGGGTTGCTGTGAGTTGGAACAGACTTGACGGCACTTCACAACAACACCATCTCATTGGGTCCTAACATATGACCAAACCAGTTACCATTGACCCACAGCGACCCCGTGTGTGTCAGAGTCAGACTGTGCTCCGTGAGGTTTTCAGTAGCCGCTTTTCTGGAAGCAGACAGCCAGGTCTTTCTTCTGAGGCACTTCTGGGTGGGTTCAAAAGTGCCAACTGTTCTGTGACTAGGTGAACGCTTAGCCACATACACCATTCGGGGCTCCGTTCATCTTATTAAAACTGTAAGGTGTCCCACAAGCAAGCAAGTCCCACAAAGTCCCACAAGCAAGAAAAGTCCAGAAAGATTATTTTGAAAATCCCTCTACTCTTGTAGAAATAGTACAATTTGCCAAAAACGGTTTTTTGAAATATTTACACAGACCAATTTGCATAGACGATGCAATGAAACTTATCAATGAATTACCCTGACACACACAAAATTATTTACATATATCAAGTCCAAAAGTTTTCATCAGGAAATCCTACCAAATGTGGAAAACAAAGACCACATCAATTTCTCCAGAGGAGATAACAGAAAGTCTACAAAGTCTTCCTTGTGTGTGTGTGTGTTTTGAGACAGAGATAAAAGTGATACAGAAATCTGATAAAGTTAGAACACACACAAAAGAAAATTCAACAAAACCAACCTTAGGTGTAAATTGCCATTTGTTGTTTATGTTGCTAAGGGTCTCTGAATTGGTTCTGACTCATAGTGACCCCGCATAGAGTTTCCAAGGAGCGCCTGGTGAGTTTGAACCACCAACCTTATGATTCAAACCAACCTTGCAGTCCATTGCTTATCCTACAGTGCCACACTAGGACTCCTATGTGTAAATACTTATGCAGAAATCCTAAATAAAATATTAGCACTCAGAAATCAACACACCATGAACAAATGGGAGGTATTCAAGGATGGGTCAACATTAGGCAATTCAGTCCTATAACCCACCATCATACATAGTTTAAAAGGTCATATGATTGGCTCCAAACAGGATTCTTTTTTTTTTTTTTTAAAAAAAGACCTTGGGAAGAATTCAGTAAATACCCTTTCCAGGCTAATAGTTTTTTTTTAAAGTTGAAAAATGGGATTGACAGATGCTTTCATAACATGATAAAAAGCATTAACTAATTTCAATTGAGTCCTGGTGATGCAGAGGACTAAGCACTGGAATGTAAACCACAAGGTCAGCCGTTGGAACCCACCCACCGCTCCTTAGGAGAAAGATGATGCTGCCTGCTCCCATAAGATTAAGAACCTCAGAAACCCAAAGGAGCAGTTTCCCTACAGGGTCACTATGCATCAATACTGTTCGTAGGCAGTAGGATACCTTCATAAAGCAGACAGACAGAGGACATCCCCAAGAAAGGAGACCCCTTTCCTCCCATTCCTTGTAACACTGTATTACAATTAGAAAAGAGACAAAGACCAGAAACTTAGGGATGGAAAAGAAACAATGAAAGAATATTTGTGGACAAGTGAGATGAAGGAGCCCCCAGAACACCCAGTAGTAAAGTGCAAGCCATCAAACATCTAGTGATGTAGCAGGCTCTGGGAAAATGACTGCTTTCTTCTGTCTGTGGATTTTATATCAAAT